AGAGAGAGAGAGGTGTCATCACTTAAGTCCCACATCGATTTTGTGGGAGGAGATGGGGTACAAGACAATTTAAGAAATGTCTCCTCGAGATAATGATGTACGTGTGGGCCACCAACATAAGGGGGGGTAGGACAGTGGTGCTAGTGAAAGTGAAATGTTTTTGTTAAAAACATTTACAAATTGAGAAAATATAATAACTTTTAAAAATAATTATTGAATTGGGTGGTGTGGCGTGGCGTGGTTCTCTAACAAAACCAGCCGATTATGCTAGAGAATTGGTTAGAACTGGCTCGTTCACATGAGGAACTGACCGGTTTCTGATATTTGTTAGGATCTAGATCAGTCGGACGGAGTCTCGATCTAGATCAACTGGTTTTGATCCAAAGCGCTGATTTTTAAAACATTGATATCTTTCTACTAATGCTTCCATTACCAAAACTCTTTCATAAGGAAGAGTTTATATAGAGGGGAGGTTCTAAACAATCAAATTATAGTCCACCTAAAAATTTTCATTAGAAGAGGTTGTTTGATGCTCAAATTTATCATTTTGACATCAAGATACATGGACATGAGAAAAAATGGATTTCAAGTTTTGGAAATAGTGCATCTTATAACTCATTTTTTGACTATCAAATTTCAAAATTTTCAATTTTTCATAGATCTAGTCAATCTACACTATTTTTTATGCTTTCAATTTTATAATTAAAGATGAAAATATATTTTAAGGCTATAACAAAATTTGTTAGTATTGAAACCACATTTCTCAACACTATTTAAAGGTGCGGTTTACTTTTGATTGTTTAGAGCCTCGGCTTTATACCAACCGCACCCTTTTCATAATCCTCAAACACCACAAAAATTATCCTCCATGAAAATAAACAACGCGACTTTCATTAATTTGTCATTTTTTACCATTTCTCAAGTTGTCATCTAATTTGGGTAGTGGAGTTAAACTCAAATTAGGTCCGGTAGATTGGTTTACACTATTTTTGGAGTTTAAAATTTTATAATTTGAGAGGACAATAGATTTTTGAGTCATCATAAGAATTTTTGATGTCAAAAATTATATCTTATGATAAAGTTTGGAAGTGCACCTTACTTTGATTTTTTAAGGTTGCAACCTTATGTAAACCGTATCCAAACCCTACACCATAAAATATTTGAAATTTAGAGGGAATGCTAGGATAATGATTCTAGTTTGAGAAATACGAAGATTTTCACTTAGCTACATGCACCATTGCACAATGGATGGACGTAGTCTTCTTTGTATTTTGATACATAGGAACTATTCCTGTATTGTACACACTATTGTGTAAGGAAATAGTTTATATAGGGGCGAAGCCCTAAACAATCAATTTAACTACTCCTAAAAAACTCACTAGAAGAGGTTGATTCGGTGCTCAAAGCTCCTTAGATCGATCATCTCAACCTCAAAATGTATGGAAATGAGAAAAATAGATTTCAGTATTGGAAATAGTACATCTTGTAATGTATTTTCTAGATCATCAATTTTCAAGATTATTAAGTGTTCATATCTGCTTGATCTACACTATTTTTGAAGCTTTAAATTTTATAATTAGATATAAAAAGAACTCTTTAGGCTATCATAAATATTTTTAATACTAAAACAATATTTTTTTACAGTATTTAATGGTGTGCGTTACTTTGATTGTTTAGGGCATCCACCTTCTATAAATCACACCTTTTAATAATAAGTAATAATTTTTAAAAAGTATATAATAAAACTATTTATTTTTAGTACAAAGAGGTCACAATTATTCTTGTGCACTAAATTTTAAATCGAGTAGTTGTAAGTATGTCATTGACTAGACTCAAAGTACCACAAGCTAAGAGTGATAATGGCCTTTTTATAATAATGGTTAATGGTGTCATAGTGGTATAAGGGGGGTAATGACCTTGTGCCAAAACTTATCATGAATCCCGGATATACAATATTGCGGACCCCAAATAATTGGGGAAAATGCTATGAATATGAACGTAAATGGTGTCATAATGTACAATCATATTATATAAGCAATTGTATACAATTAGACGATTTACTTTTGATACAAGGAGGTCGGAATTATTTACAACCATCCAATGTGAAATATGAAAGCTTGGGTGTGTCACAAGTTTGAGAAAATTTCTTTCGAAGTTTAAGTTTGGTCAATGGAAAAAATGCATCCATCTAATTTCTCATTCCAAGGACAATATTTATGGTGACCTTGTACTAAAGATAAAGGAAAAAGTTTATATAGAGCCGAGGCTCTAAATAATAAAATTCGAGCCCACCTCAAAAATTTAATTGGAAGAGGTTGTTTTGATTCCCAAATATCGTCAAATTGATCATCTTGACATCAAGATGCATGGCCATGAGAAAAAATGGATTTTAAAATTTAGAAATAGTGCATCTTGTAACGCATTTTTTGACCATTAATTTTCAAGATTTTCAAGTTTTCACATATCTACTCGATATACACTATTTTCGAAGCTTTAAATTTTATAATAAATATAAAAATATATGTTAAGGCTATCAAAGATTTCCAATATTTAAACCATATTTTTTGACACTAATTTGATTGTTTAGAGGCTAAGCTCTATACAAATTGCATCCACAGATAAATGATATCATTATATATTTTTCCATTATATAAAGGACCCGATTTTTATGCGGCCAAGCCTGCATATGTAGAAATGCAGGGCTCTTAATAAATCTATTTTTGAGATGGATTTTAAGTCGAGGGCATGAGAATCCGAGATTTGGTCTATCATCCTCCTCATTATAATCCTCCTAAAATCAATAACATTTCATCGGAATACATCCGTCTTTGAACCTTTGTAGTTTTGTGCATAGTAAGTACTATAGCCCCAATCATGGCTACTAATAAAATAGGACTGGGAACCAAAAACCAGAGAGAATAGTAGGTATAAAGTAAATTGCCCAATGTTTTTAAAATTTTCAAATTAGTCCAACTTTGTATCTTTCTGGCGTAAAACGTATATCTAAGAGAGGTCGTCTTTAAGTGGGTTGGTGGTAATGGAATGGTTTCATTATCCAAAATGAAGAATATTTCCCACCAAAAGATCAGTCCAATAATACCACTCACAGGTAAATAGTACAATACTTTAATTTTTAAGGATATGTAATCTCTAATATGGAGAGCATGAATATGAAAAATAAATAATAATAAAAACTAAAAATAATAATTCTTGTAAAAAAACATTTGGACCGTTAGTTTCCGTTGTTTTTAGATGGAGCACCTACTTGCATCTATCTTTAAAATAGATGCTTTACACTTTCTTGACCGCATATGTAGAAATGAGGTCCAGCCCACATGAAACAATTTCCCTTGCATAAAGGACCTGGTTTTTATGCCGTCAAACCCGCAAATGTAGAAATGCTGGCTTCTCAATAAATCTATTTTTGAGATAGATTTTAAGATTTAAATTTTAACATGTAATCTCTAACATGGCGATCATGAATATATAAAAAGAAATTAAACATTAGAAATAATAATTCCAGTAATAAAACATTTGGACCGTTAGTTTCCCCTGGTTTTAGATGGAACACCTACTTGCATCCATCTTTACGATGGATGCTTTATACTTGCTGAACCGCGTATGCAGAAATGCGGTCTAGCCCGTATGAAACAATTTTCCTTATATAAATAGCAGGAAGAAAGTTGCCTTGAACTGTCGGGTGCTTCACGCGCTTCTCCCTCGAATCCCAGCACCCCATCACAGCAAGCAGAGAGAGAGAGGAGAAGCAATGGCGGCACCAGAAGCTCCAATGTGTTACGTTGGAATGGCCAGGGAGTCTGCTGCCTTTCGCCTCATGAAACAAATGGTAACCTTTCTCATTCACTTTCCCTTGGAATTCCAGGGTTTAGGGTTTACCAATGTTGGAAGCTTAGTTTTATGTAATTTTGCTTCGAGGAATGGATTTTGAGGTTTTCAGGTGCTATTCATTTTCAATTGAACGGGGAAGCATGAATTTTGTGCTTATTGGATTAGGTATACTAGTTGAAATATGGTATCGTCCTTTTTCTGGATTTTGGAGATTCTATTCTCACATGTATGGGTGTATTTCTTTCTTTTATGAAATTTAAAAGCAGCTCAGCATGAATGTGAAAGCTAAAATTTCTTTAATTTATATCTCCATGATTCAAGTAGTACTTTGAAGTACAGAATTATCTCAATTTACTAAAAAGAAGAAAAATCACTTGTTCAATGGACACTTTTCTCGAGTAAGTTGCATCGTCGGGGAAAACCCAAATGTTTTGATTATATCACCTTTTTCTGATAATTTGATTAGTTACCATTGATTTGATGGCCATTTATGACGTATCTTAGCAGCCTGATCATCTTTTAATTCATTGCATGTGTTAAGAAATCAAACTTATTTCTCAGGAGTATTGGTTCTCAATATTTGCTGATAATTTAAACAACTTTCCCTGCAATCAAAAGGAGAGCCATTCTGTCTATTGGGTGTAGCCTCTGCCAAATCTACTTTCAAGAGTGTTTTTAAGCCGTCACTAAAAGAGTTTTGAAAGTCCATTAAACCTACTTCTTTCACCATTTGTTACCCTATTTGACCAGAAGAGTATCAAATTATTCATTCATTATCCTCCACTTTTTGATTGGGTGTTTGATACGATGTTATATATTTCTGAAATCACATCAGTAATTTCAAAAATTTTATTTTGTTTACGAAATCACATTAGTAATTTTAAAAAAATCTTATCCATGTGATATTTCGAGATATGTTTATTGGGCGATAATACTTGTACATTACTTCCTCGTTTTAAATATCTTATTGGGTATGGGTATTTCATCTTTGAGATTTGTTTGTTAAATTGAGGTTATGAGAATCCTATTATAGAGGTTATGAAAACACTATATTATTCATTCATAGGGTTGGGAAGAAGGTGAAGGCCTTGGAAAAGACAAACAAGGGATCAAAGGATATGTGAAGGTCAAAAATAAACAAGATACTGCAGGTTTTGAGCACTGCTTTCTTATATAAGGTTAAGATTTAAATCCAATGAGGTCTAAGTAGCATTTATCATTTTTTTTCTTCTGAACAGGTGTAGGGTTAAATAAGGCTGCTAACAATTGGGCTTTTGATACTAGTCAATTTGATGGTATCCTCAAGAAATTAAGAGTGGTAAGATATCGTCCTTTTGAATATCTCTAAAAAATGCTAAGATTAATGATGGTACTGTAGTCATGCATCCTGCTTGTTTTTTTTTTTTTTTTCTCTTTTTTCTTCTTTGCTTGTGAAAAAACTGCACCTTTGTAAGATGTTCTTGGAGGTTTTATGTTAGTTTAGAGCTGCAAGATATTGATTCAGCTCATTGCCCTGACTGTCTTTTTATCAAATATTGGCAGCAAGTAGCGGACTCTGAGGGCAAAGGTATGGCAACGGCTCAAATTTTTAATTTTTTTTATAATATCATTTTTATTTCTTCCATTAGCATTTTTGTCAATCTCTTGTTTCTCATGGGTGTATCGCCGTGATATATTGTTTTAGAGACAAGTTCTCTTCAAGTAGATGACCAAACTCCATCAAAAGAGGACACTACATTTAAATCCACTCGACCTCAAGGAAGGTTGATACCTTTTCTCAACTGTTCTCTTTGCATGTTTATTTTTGGTTGCATTCTTTACTCATAGTGTTCTACTATCATTTTCAAAAGATATAACTGCCTCAACATTTTATATTTATATCAGATACAAGAAAAGGGAGAGAGCGAAGCTTGTTAATTCATATTCAGCAAAGGATCTTCAGGAGATTCTTGTATGTTCGATTCCCCCTCTTTAGCATGCATGCTGCAGTTTATCCTTTGTTTTTTATTTGATTCATCTGACTTGGGGTTCTAGAAAATAAGAAGTTTTTAGGTAGAAAAAATTTAATTGCCTATTTCAAATTTTCGATTCCTAATCATAGGATGCTTTGAATCGTCAACAAGGTATTAGGAATATTATGATTAATAGAGAACACTTAGGAAGACCTGTGAAACTTTTGACAAGAGAGGAAGGGGCAAAAAGCCCCCAAGAGGTGATGGCTATAATATTTTTGACGAAAAGTTTGTGCAATAATGAATTTACATGTTTGTATATTTTTGATATCTGAAATAGGCTTAGGCGCTATCTCATTGGAGCAAAAATATAAGGTTATATGATGCATTAGTAGTGTCATGCCCCCTTTCTGCTCAATGTGGTTGGCTAGCCTTTCACAATCATCCCATTGATTAATCACTCTCTAGTTCTCTAGCATTGGGAGTTTCTCTATTATAACAAATAGGGCTATCAAGTATTTTGTTATCCTATTCAGATATTATTGCCTTGGACAAAGTACTCATGTCATGCATTTCTGATTTGGTTAGGATGCATAATGATTTTGTCCTCTCACTTGGATGTTAGTGAAAGCTCCATTGTCTTTCTATTTATACTTTTACCTCTTTTATATGGTTTGCGTGCAATGTTCTCTCTTTTCTTCCACCTTTGAAAGTTTTTAGCTTGGATCACTTGAAAATGCCCTTTCAGGTCCTTAAAGCTTTGTTATTTTGTTTTGTCACCAAACTAGTTATTTATATCTCTTCTCTTGGGTACCATTTCATGCATCTCTCAGTGGTAGCTGATTGTGAACCCAGCCCCATCTAACATAAGTGTTATTTGGGAGGCTCTGGGATGTTTCCACACATTTTCTTGGGCTGGTTGGGCTTTGAGACCTGATGAGGGTGGAAGCCCATTTTATCTTACCAGACTCAATATCTTCCCTCAGCTATGCTTGGGCCTCTCTTTGTTTAGGGCAACTCCCTTAGTATTGTCGAAGTGCTTGGAAGAGATCCTAGCAATTTGTGGTAGAGGACCAAATTTGCACCATACCGTTCATGAGGCCAACTTATTGGTTGGACAATATGGCATATGAGGTGATGATGAGGAGTTATTGGCCCATTGTTAAAATTTGCGGCATGTGCCCCGATATGCGGCTCATGCTTCTGGGCGAAAAGTTGGCCCATGAGCATGGTCATAAAGGTAATTTTCCCCCAAGAAGAAGGGGGGAAAGGGTTTTCAAGGATTTATAACCCCCCCCACGAACACACACACAGAGAACCCCCATTAGAACCACTTTTGGTGGTTCTTTGATGATTAAAAACCAATAGAAGTTTTCTATTTGGGGTTTTCTTGAATCCAAATTTCCGAAAAGGAGTTAGAGATTATCTTGATCATCCATGGATGTTATCTTGGGCATTATATTGAAGGTGTAAGGGCGAAGAATCAACAACTAATAGAGGGTTTTAAGGGCCAAGTAGAAATTGAAATTTCTTTCGATTATTTGGTGTGGGAATAGTTACATAGGGGGTAATTTCCGGCAAAAAGAACACTTAGTCGTTATTAGTGGGAATGTTAGAGCATGCCCACAAGCAAATGATGAGGTTAAAAGGGAGATTAGGGAATATGTGGATAGCCAAAAAAACAGAAAAAGAGAAAGAAGAGAAGAAAATGAGGCAAAAAGAAATAATGGAGGAAATCCAATTATTTGATGATGATGAAGAATATTCACCAGAAGTTGTAAGGAAGCATAGGTGGTTACAAGTGAGAAGGTTATAAATATTGGTGGTAATGTTTGGCAAAAAAGGCCTCTCTGGAAGGGGCGTATGCATCGTTTAGGAAGGATAGGAGGGAAAAAGAAAAGAAAAACACACACACTTGAAAATTGATATAAGACAAATAGAGGAATATGTATGTAAATATGTTGCGAAGTGGTTTTAGCAGGCCGGCATTTCTTTCAATACCATAAACTTGGATATTTCATGATCATGGTTGAGGTAATTGGACAATTTGGTTGACTCATACCCTTCATTACATGAGTTTCGGGAGCCTCTTTTGAAGGGTGTTGTAAATGAAGTTAAGAAAGTTTTGAGTTCCAAAAGAAAAGGTTGGGAGAAGCATGTGGCGACCATCATGTGTAATGAATGGTTTGATGGAAGGTCTTGAGCATTTATTAAATTGTTTTGGTTAACTGTTCGTTCGGTACTTTTTTTTTGTGAAGTCTATTGATGCATCATACAAGTTACATGATGCTACATACTTGTGTGAGGTGATGGATGAGATTGTAGACTTTGTTGGGTAGGCGCATGCGGTACAAATTGTCATTGACAATGGTGCCAATTACTCTGCAACTAGGCATCTTTTGACTTTGAAGAGGAGTCATATATTTTGGATTCCTAATGCAGTTCACTGCCTTGGTCTCATGGTTGAGGACACATGTATGACATCCAAATAAGTTGGGTAATTTCAAAAGCTAAGTTTGTCATTTTTTTATTATCTATAGTCATACACTAGTCCTAAGCATGATGAGGGAGTTAACAAAGAAAAAAGAGAGTGAGATTAGGAGTGATTAGATTTGGCACAAGATTTCTCACTCGTCAAAGCCTATGCAAGCAAAATGGTATTCTATGTACCATGTTCACTTCGGAAAAGTGAAATAATAGTAAGTGGTCAAAACATCAAGATGAGAGAAAAGTTGAGCAAATTGTCTTGAATACATCTTTTTGGAACCAAGTCTATTATGCATTGGGTGTTCTTGCCTTGTAGTAAAAGTGCTTCAAGTGGTTGGTGGTGAAACAAAGCCTGCCATAGGCTACATACATTAAAGGCAAAAGAAGCAGTCAAGAAGCTCTAAAGAATGATGAAACCTAATACAAGGCTATACTTGAGATTGTTTACAGGAGGTGGGATAACAGCTTTGCTCGCCCCTCCATGCAACTGGTTACTTTTTGAATCTTTCAGTATAAGGCACCCATCCATTGAATCAGATCGTATAAATTATAATAAATGGTGGATTATTAGATGTGGTTGAGAGGTTGGTCCCTGACCCATCTATCCAAGGTGAGATCCATCATGAATTGATCACGTTCAAGTGCGTATTGGGAAACTTTGGAAGAGACATCGCTCGAAACAAGGATACTACACAACCAGGTAACTGAGAAAGCGAAAAGTATCTTCTTTGTTTTGTTTTGCTTGTAGAGTTTTGTTATATAAATAATTAAATATCTAAAATAATATGCAGCTACATGGTGGGCATCATATGGAAGCGAGACACCAAATCTTCAACATGTGGTTCATTTGGTTGCAAACACAATTGGAGTGCATTTGAGCTTGTATCCTTATTTTTGGTTTTCAAATTTATAAAATCTAGGAAGACTCCGATTATCGTTATTCAAGCGGTATCACAGGTAATCTTTCCTTTCGTCCTTTTGGCAAGGGTTTGAAGAGGGGCTCGGCAGCTAGGAAAGTCAAGTCAGGGAGGAAGGCGCTGTACTATTGGGCAAGTAGTGGTTGTAGTTTCGGCTTTCTTGTAGCTTTGGGGATTGGGATGTGCCTGCCCTTTCGGCTTCAAGCTCTAGAAAATAACATTTTTCTTTTCTCTTTTGCTTGTTTCCTTGCTTTTTATCACAACTCCATACCAAAAAAAGAAATACACTTGAGCAGAAGAAGTCGAGTGATCTTGTGTATGTGTGCGTCTGTGCGATATAATGAGTGCCTCAGGGAGTGGTATTTGAAGCGCATGGATGTCAACCCAATTTGATTGGATGATCTTGAGGGCGAGGGCACAAGTGAGTGGCCTGTGGATCCAAAATATGGGTGTGTGTTTGAGGTTGAGGACTTATTTGGTTTGATGTCGAGCACGCACAGGAGTTCGAGAAGAAGTAAGGCCTAACACTGGAACACAAAGGAAAAAAGGTGGATTCTGTCGCATGTCATTTCCAAAGGTTGAGGAGGAGGCCGACTCAGAGGAGACTGAGGAAGACGAAGTATATGTGGACAGGGTGACTATGTTGATGATGCGGCCTCTACATCCTTGGCTTCAGATGTGGGAGATACACATGCATATGAAGAATCATCATATGACTTGTTTGATCAAGGGTTGGGACTTGACAGTTGATTATCTTTTGTTTTTTAATGTCTTCATAAACTTTTAGTGGTTGTATCAATCTTTGGAATGCAAACTGTAAAAGTTTGGAATTTTGGATGTTTGTGTGAAGTTTGGAATTTTGGATATGTTAATTGAGGTGGAATAGATTGCTTTGCTTTACATGTTAATTGTAAGAAAGTTTAGCAACAAACTCTATTACTCTTTGTTAGGCTATCAGGGCTAGCCTAGTTCGAAAGCTGTTGCGCTAACACGCATCCGTTTTCTTGTTGGAGTTTGCTAGCGCTCAGCAAACTACAACTCGAAAGCAAGAAGCAACGGCTAGCCTAGCGCGAAAACCGTTGCGCTAACGCGCATCTGTTTTCTTGCTTGTCTTCGCACCAACGTGGTGATTATGCTGATGATGAGGCCTCGGCCTCTACATCCTTGGCTTCAGATGTGGGAGATGCACATGCATATGAAGAGTCATCATATGACTTGTTTAATTGAGGTTTGAGACTTGACAGTTGATTATCTTTTGTTTTTTAATGTTGTCATAAACTTTCAATGGTTGTATCAATCTTTGGAATTCAAACTCTAAAAGTTTGGAGTTTTGGATGTTTATGTGAAGTTTGGAATTTTGGATATGTTAATTGAGGTGTAATAGATTGCTTTGCTTTACATCTTAATTGTAATAAATTTTAGCAACAAACTCTATTACTCTTTGTTAGGCTATCAGGGCTAGCTTAGTGCGAAGGCCGTTGCGCTAATGTGCATCTGTTTTCTTGCTGGAGTGTGCTAGTGCTCAGCAAACTACAGCTCAAAAGCAAGAAGCAACGGCTAGCCTAGCGCGAAAACCGTTGCGCTAACGCGCATCCGTTTTCTTGTTGTTTTTGCACCTACGTGCGCTAGCGCGCATCTAGTTTTCTTCGCAGCTAGCGCACACTTTGTTTTGTTCTACTATCACATAAATCATATCTATTTTTTTTCTATGCTTTGTTTTTTTTTTATTTTTTTTATTATTTTAATTTATTAATTGATTTGGGCCTTGACCGCATTGGGTCCGTATCCCCCATTTTAAAACACATGTCCGCCCTCTTCGATGTTTGCTTTTAACAATCTTGATGACTAATTCATTCGTGTGGGTATTGTTCCTTTAGTCAAGTTCGAATTCTGAATATAATTTTATGGATTATTTCATTGCTGTGGGTGTGGAACGCAGGTCTTCCAATTTGTAAACCTTAACATGGTTTGCTGGATTATAAATCCATTTTAGAAATCCCACAAATCTTTGACTGTTCCAGACTACAAGGTAGATTATTGGGTAATAACCTCCTAGATTTTAGAAACCTTGCATAAATATGGGTTTTACATTGGAAAATGCTTGAAACAACCAAATATTCTATATGAACCGTCTTAAATGAAATGCAGTAACACATACACCTTTTAATGGCTTTATGAAATCACTTGGATTCTTCTTTCAACTGTCTAAATCAAACCACGGAAAGCTAACCTTTAATTTCTACCTTATAATGTAATAGGGGTAGGGTTTCCGTGGACCTGGATGAACGTGTTCGAGAGTTTCTCCACAATACTCATCTTCTAAGATTTATTCAAATGTGGCTTTGATACAGTGTTAATACAGTCTAACTCTTTTAGTAAATGAGGATGGAGAAGATATGGGCGTAAAACTTGTAAGCTTTTCGGAAATGCTTTCATTCATTTTCGATTATGGGTACAAAACTGTTTGGATTTACATATACATGTGTTGTAACTAAAGATGAATTTGGGCAACTGCACGCTGACTTACCCTTTTTTGTGAACGACAGCGACATAATGGCTTAGATGCACATAGTATGCTAAGCAATGACTAAAGTAAACAACACACAAACACAAACACACATACATATATATGAGGTTTGTATTAGGTGTCAAACTTATACTATTGAAGCAAAAGCGTATCTTAAAACTATGTCGAAAGCTGCAGTTTTGGTGCTGGAAAGCCTTGCGATGGCATGAAAATCTATTATCTCCTCTAATTATGAATTTTAAAGCTCCAAAAACAACACATATTACGTAGATATATAAACAATTAAATATTTTGAAAATGGACGGCCCAGATAATGCATTAGAGATGATCAATTTGAGGGTTTTTTACCATTGTAGCCACTGATGGATTATTGAGGTGCGCCTTAGTTTAATAGTACAAGGTTAACACCTTATATGAACTTTTAGGTGTTGTTTGATAAGGTTGCAACCTTAAACAATCAAAGGTGCATCATAAGATCTAATTTTGGTATAAAAAGTTCTAAGGATGTCCTTGGAATCTATTTTCATCTCCAATTATAAAATTTTTAGCTCAAAAAATGGTTCTAATCAAGTAGATCTACAAACACATGAAAATCGTGAAAATGGACGGTCAAGATAATGTGTTGGAAGATGTATTATTTTTGGGACTTGAAATCTCTCTCTCTCTCTCTCTCTCTCTGTTTTTTTTTTTTAATTTCCATGCAATTTGATGTTGAGATGATCGATTAGAGGGTTTTCCAACATCAAGATAGCTTTTTCCGATGATTTTTTGAGGTGCACCTTAATTCCACAATTTAAGGTTGCAACCTTATATAAATTTTTTCCTATATGTGTGTGTGTGTATATGTGTGTGTGTGTGTGTGCGCGTGCAATGACATGACCACCCTACTAACATGTGTTTCTTTTGTTTTATCTTCATAGTTGCTCTTTGTTTTGTGTGTCTATTCAAATGGATTGCAAATGGTTGAAAGGTCCCTTCAATTGATTTTCTTTAAATTGTGTAAAACATTGACTATCTTCGACAAGTTTTGATGTATTTGCTCTAATAAATCTGCTTGTCCTAAATAAACCAGTTTGATACTACCTCTTGAAAAAAAAAAAACGAAAGGTAGTTTGAGTTCCATCTATGGTTTCTTTCTTTCTTCTTCTTCTTCCTTTTTATTCTAGACGATTAATAGGTAATTTCTTCTGAACTGTGAATAGAAATGCCTTCAGGTATTGCATGCACAATTTTCTCAGTTTTTGGGGGCAAGATGCTGTTTTCTTATGTCGTAGGTCTCCTTCTTTATTTAACCCTTCGCTTTATTTTCTAAGGGCAACAAACTGGATGCAATTACACCATCAAATGTTAATGAAGTTGAAGATCCAACAGCTGCGGTTGAGTTTCACGTCTCTGATCATGAAGGTATACTGTGAAAAACATTATTAGTACTTTATGGTAAGGAGTTCTTTGATGTATCTTTGGTGCTTCTGTGTATTCAATTCTATTACTCACCTTTATATTTTCTGTAATAGATTGGTTGTGAAAGCGGCAAACCAATGAATTTGTACCAGACTGCTGGGTTTGCAATTATTGGTCTCATTTTAAAGCAGAGTATATGCAGGACTTCCGAACTGTCTTACATCAGTATAATTACTTTAAACATGCTGCTGTGCCTGATGTTGAGCTTGTGGATCTCATTTAGTTTTTATCAGTTGACTAGGGTGATGAACTAGCCTAAACCTAGCTTTTCTTACTTTGAAATTGAGCATCACCCTATTTGCTACTATTGTAATTTTGATTATACGGTGATGATAGCAATGAGGAGTTGATGTGCATTCTGGAGGTCCAAGAAAATCCATATTTTATCAAAAGGACATGCATCTGTTTGGGCTTTACTTGTATATCAATTCATAGAATTGGTAAAAACATTGCCCCAACTACAGGAACTGCTTCGTCGGTAAATAGCACGACAATGTTCTTACCACAGGATCTCATGTCAAGTAATGCTTAGCTTGATATTGTTTTCCAACTATAGACTTATGCTCTGTTGTGCTTTTTTCTCATCCATGAGATGAGTGGGGGTGTTTCACAAGAATTATAAAAGCTGATAGTGGATCTGTAGTTGTCGTGGCATCTGGATTGTTATATGCTCAAACCATGGAAAGTAGTAGCAAAAAATGTCATGTCTTGATATAGACTAATGACATGATATTAACTAATGTAAACAATGGGGTGATAGACAACTGATGTTAGAAAAACAATATAGGTGTAGTGGCTCAAGAGCTTTCTTAAGCTGACATGCTATGCTCCTTGAACCATTGATGGTTATGGTTTAATTTTGTTCTCTATGCTATTTGGTAATGCATGCAGCCTTCCTTTATCCTTATGGATTACTTCTTTTCCCTTTTTAGTGCCCAGGAAAATCTTAGGATCACACATGAGTACCTGTCTGCCACCATAAAAGCCATATCAGTGTTTCAAAGAGTGGGGCGCGTCAGCACTCTGCTCTGTCGAGGCACCCCAACCTGGATGGGGACCCTCTGGGTGCCCATCAATGTGACCTATGTGCTGCCTAAGCTGGCGGGTGCATTGGGCAAGTGGACACTTTGTGTGTGTGTGTGTGTGGGTGGGTGGTGGTGTGTGTGTGTGTGTGAGAGAGAGAGAGAGAGGCACGTGCATGTGTGTGTGTGAGAGAGAGAGAGAGGGAGAGAGAGAGAGGATATTTCATCAAACATTCTTTTGAGAATGATATTTCATCAAAGATTTTGCAGGGCATGTTGTATAGCCTTTAACCCCAAACCCGAAAATGGTAAAAAGCAATGGAATTTGAGTCCAAACATTGCGTCGGACATTTGCAGGGAATCTGTTTTATTCTCTCACTTGGACTCTCTCTCTCTCTCTCTCTCACAAGGACAGTACATGTTGCCCTGTATGCTCTATCTCTGAAATCCAAATCAAAGACATTTCATTGAACACTGGAGAGTGGTTTTTCCCTTCATTTGAACACTTGGAAGACATCTCTCTCCCTCACACACACACATGGAATGTTATGCTGCCCCCCCCCCC